ATTTTATAAAGATAATAATTAAGTATTCTGTTATAACTTAATGATTATCCTAATTATATTTTAGATTTTTTATATTTAAAATGAGATGTTTATCTTGTATTTGATTGTGTTTATCTGCAGTTAGTTACACGAATTCAGATATGGGATGAAATCGTTTAGGGATGAACGAGTTTAAGAGTTTTAGCCAAATACTTTATAAGATAATATAGATATATTATTACATACTTCAATTGGATGAAATGTATGGAGAACCAAAGAACCCCTAGATCTCTTGATTAATTAATCAATTTGTACAAGAGAGGGGGGAGCTTATAAAAAGGCGATGTGAGATATGTGTGTGGTAGAGAGAAAGAGAGAAAGAAAACGATATAGAGAAGAATAAAGAAAGGGAGGACAGGCGTGAAAGCTCTTTCAGATAAATCCCTTCTCTTTGCTTACTTATTTTGGGTTTCTCTCTCTAGAAATTGCAGAGAGAGTAGCGTGTGTAATGTAGAGAGAGAGTGACACAACACAGATATGTTAGAAAGACTATTCTCCATCTTCATCTTCTTGTCTTCTTGAAGATAATGAATAGAGTCTCTTACATCCTCTTCTCACAGGAAGACGAAGAAGAAGAAGATGGTGTCGAAGAAACAACAAAATGCGTGTCCCCAAAACCCTATCTTTGCTATTGATGATGTCCTTTTGTGTGATGAACAAGAACAAGATTTCGATTTTGGATATGGGTTTGGTTTTGGTTTATCAGACCAAGAAAATCAAGTCTTGAAGGAAAAAGATCCCCACTTTACCCATTTCCAACAGCATCTTTTGTGGGAAGAAGATGAGCTTTCGTCTCTTTTATCCAAAGAGAAAAATACCCATTTAGGGGAACTCGATTTGATCTGCGATGAGTCTTTAAGGGTTCTGAGAAAAGAGTCTGTTGATTGGATGATTAGAGTCGGTACCCATTACGGATTTGTTACTTTGACCACCATTTTAGCTGTTAATTACTTCGATAGGTTCTTGATGACCCCTTCTTTTCAGAGGGATAAGCCATGGATGAATCAGCTAGTTGCTGTTGCTTGTCTTTCTTTAGCTTCTAAAGTTGAAGAGATCCAAGCCCCACTTTTGTTGGACTTGCAAGTAAGTGTTTTTTTTAAATGCATTCCATGTGCTTGTGAAAATGCCAGCTCCACTTTCTTTGGGTGCTTTTTAGTGTAATTGATGCTAAATTGGGCGAATTTGTTCAGATGGAAGGATCAAAATTTGTGTTTGAGTCCAAGACCATTATGAAGATGGAACTTTTGGTGCTATCTTCTCTTCAATGGAAGATGAATCCTGTAACCCCTCTTGCATTCTTTGATTACATCATGCGTAGGCTTAATTTAATGATTCATAATCTACATTATGAGTTCCTGCGGAGATGTGAACGAATTCTTCTATCTGTTATCAATGGTAAGTTTGTAAATTTGCTTCCCATCACCAAATTAATGCCAAAAAACTTCCATTTTTTGTCAGATTTGAGTGGCTGATCTTTGTATAATGAATGTAGATTCAAGGTTTCAGGGGTTTCCTCCATCTGTGATGGCTGCTGCTATAATGTGCATTGTTAGCAAGGAGATTGAGCCCGAGAACGTATTCGATTACCGAAATCAGCTTATGAATCTCCTCAAAATTAGTGAGGTTTGTTCTTCTTTTGCTTTACCTGGATGCATTCACATGTGAATATGTTGGATGATTGAGCAAATGAGTCCAATTCTGCATGCAATTCAATTGATTCTAGCTTATGGATTGCATCAGATTGAATTTAGAAGAGTATTTTCATCAGATTTCACACACATCATCAAACATATGTTTAGGTTTAGTTTGATCCTTATGTTATTGGATTAGTAATGGGCAGCTTTGCTTAGATTTTGTGATCAAATTAGAATGCATTTCCCTATGCTGTTCTCAGACCATTTAGGGTTTATTCATTTATTCACATATGAATCCAAATTAAAGCTATCATGTGTATCTACAATCTACCCTTCAACAAAGCATAATCTCTAATTCACTATTCGTTAGATTTGTTTTCTTCTTTGGTTTTTATGTTCTATATATAAAGCAACGTGTAGAGGTGAGCCTTGGTGCACCAGGGTCAACCTATAGATATAAAACACTGTCTCCACATGTCTGAATTCAACACGATTCTTTAAACCCTTCTCTAGATTTTGCAGCCTTATTGAAATACAGAGTTTCTTAAAGGTGGTGTTAATTAGATATGTTTTATAACAGGAAAACTTAGATGGGTGTTCGAAATTCATCCTGGATGTATCTAATAATCATGGAACTAGCTATTCCCAAACTCACAAGCGAAAGTACCATTCTGTCCCTGGAAGTCCGAATGGTGTAGTTGATGCCTATTTCAGCAGCGATAACTCTAACAATTCGTGGGCAATTGCATCATCAGTTTCATCTTCACCAGAAGCTACGTTCAAGAAGAATCGAGCTCAAGAGCAGCAGATGAGATTGGCGCCAGTGAACCGTGTTTCCATCAGTGTTCTTGGCAACCCCCATTGAATTCGGATTAAACCGCTATTTTATAGTATGGTAATTTAATTTACAATCTCTTCTTGGATATTTATTTTGACAGAGTATGTTGTTATGGTGCAATTACATTGCTACCCTTTTATCTATAACTCTGTTTCTGGTCAAACCCATGTGCTGGAAAACACATATTTCTACATTTGCTCCAACTATGAACATCTCTTTCGATCTAGAAATGCGAAAACACATTGAAACTAGAGATTTCGTGTAGTTTTCTCTCCAATTGGCATCCATTTTATCTGTCCATTCAGTACCCTCTCTGATCAATCTGTGCAAGGGCAGTATTGTCTTTAGGTTATTAATGCAAGAATGCTTTTCAGTTTTCATTTTGAATACCATAAATCAATAACTTACAGGTGGGTAGGATCATAAATAGATATACGATCCTTTCAACCGATAGGATCTTGATTCTTGTTTGCTGGCTTTGTTTGAATTGAGACCTCCTAGTTTCTACTCTCGAGGATTAGATTTCGAAATCCTTAAGATAGCAAGCATCCATAATAAACAAGATCGATAAAAGTGTTCTTGAAGGTAGGATTTTGCTTCTTGTTTGTTGACTCCTGACTTTCTTGAACCAACAACACCTCCTGGTTTCTTCTAAAGGATTAGACCTTTAAGATTCTAAGATTTCTTTACATATATATGAATTATGCTCTTTATCTGCATGAAAAACAAGATCAAGAAAAGGGTATATTGGTAAAATTTAGCCTTGTTCAATCTTGTTCAATGGGTGCGAGTGCCACCACTTTCTTCATGTCTATGCCATACAAAAGTCATGCCAGACTTGAAACAATGATCTTGTTCTGTTTTGTCATGTCTTGTCCAGTGTACCAAACGCACCGATAAACAAGATCAAGAAAAAGGTATATGTTGATGTAGACAGGGCTTTGATTAGGGTTTATTGACTTTAAACTTTCTTGAATTAAGACCTCCTAGTTTATTCTAAAAGATTAGGTTTTCAAGATTCTTTAAGATACCAACTACAATGCTCTTTATTTGCATGATAAACAAAATCAAGAAAAGGGTATATATATGTTAATGAAGGTTAGGGCTTTGATTCTTGGGTATCTTGACTTAAGAATTTCTTGAATTAAGACCCTCCTAGATTCTTAAGATATACCAACCTATAATGCTTTTTTTATTTTTGATTAACCTAGATATCCAACCCGCTATGCTAGCCGACCAATCCCATGGCGACCATCTGCTTTGCTAATAGCCCGGAGTCACCGCATTTGAACCTCCGTGGCCACAAGGGAATTTTTATTCCTCCTTGGATTTGAACTTGGGACCTCCTGGTACTTTTGACCTTTGGAGCCAAGCTCAAACCAATCAGACACCACCCTTGTGGTTCCTACAATGCTCTTTATCTACTTGATCAAACACAATCAATAACAGGCTATATGATCTTGATAACCAAGATTCCTTAGATTTCCAATGAATTGTAGAAAAATTACTAGAAGAAAACAAGTTGATGATTGAGGACAGATGCAAGAGGGAAGATCTCAGAAAGATGAGAAAAGTGAAGTGTGGTATGAATGTTTGGGAGTATTTGGCTTGAAAAGAAAAGAGATGGGGAACCTCTTGAGTTTTGTGGGGTTATCTTTGTCCCCAAGAGCACTCCTATTCATTGCTTTTCTCTCCTCTTTAAGGTAGTTTGGTTTATGGTTACCCGGTAAGCGCTTGCTGATAGGAGTCAACACTATGACTTATTTTGATGCTCAAGATTTTAGTACATCAAAACATATCGAATGCAACAATTTACTGGGTAAGCGCTTACCTGGGTAAGAGTCATCATCTTCCCTTACCCAGTAAGATTTTTGGCCCTTCTCATATTCATCCGATAAGGAAATTTATTCGGTAAGCATTTACCAAGTAAGTGTTTAGTAAACGGCCCTTTAGTTTACTCATTATAATAATTCTGAGGCGGGAAAGAAAGAAGAGGTTTCAATGCATATATTGATTGGGCTCCACCCAAATAATTTTGGAATGATATATGAGGAATGCACTCTTTCTTTTATCTGGAAGTTGTCTAAAATCGCTATTATAGACTCTCCAATTCATTTTATAGCCGTTTTTTTTTATACCAAAAATAGTCAAAGATTCCGCAAGTAGCATGATGGCAACTTGCGGAATCCTCTTTTGATGTATTTAAAGTAACATTTTAGCAAGTGTTAAGGTGCTACTTGCAAAATGTTGACACAGTTTTGTTAAAATACCAGTGGTAAATTGTAGACAGATTTCCTCTTTTACCCTCCAATGTCAAAGTTTGACTTGGTCTAACTTTTTTACATTATTGATTCACTGAAAGGTAAAAAAGAAAAGCCTGGTGGGGAATTCACTTTCTTTTACCTTTTTGGTGTATGCTGATCTTGGTAAAAATGATATCATGTTACTGAATGCAATTTTCTTGAATATTTGTGAAATCAACCCTTTTTTTACTGTTTCATCTTTTGTTTTGTGGTCAAAGAGAAAGCAGATTGAATGAAACATACAAATTAGACACTTTTGCAAGCAGGGATTTTTTTATCTTTGAATTTCTTTTTGTCAGATTATAAAAGAAACAAAGTGTGAATATTGGGACCAAATTTGCAGTGTCATAGCAGCAGATTCTTTCATCCTTTTTGTTTTTGTGTTTATATGTGAAAGAAGGAGAATATATATATATATATATATATATATATACATACGTACATATATATATATGTATGTATATATATATAGGGTTGGGTTCACGTGAGACCAAAGGTTTTGTGTGAGACCCGTAAGACCAATTTATGTTCATTGATCAACTTTATAAGTTAATGATCTAACGGTCTAAATTGCACGATGGTAATTTGGTAATTATTAAGAAATCTCGTGGCGTTTATGAATATTTATATTTTATCAGATTATAGATCTAATCCAAGGGTTAAGAATTGGTCTTACAGGTCTCACGAAAAACAATTGGTCTCACATGATCTCAAGTCTATATATATATATATATATATAATGCGATTCTTGTAGAATTATAAGATGGGTTTTTGGTTTAATAAATCATATTTCAAGAAGTGGTGGAATGGGGTGGTACCAGAAGCAATACTGGTAAGATGAGCTTTACATTGTGCAGAAGGAAAAATATTATTTAATTTAATAATTTAAAGGTTTATTTTATTAAATTATAAGTTAAAAGTGTTTTAATTTATAGAATAGTAAATTATTTTATTTATTGAAAAATATTTTATTAATGATTAAGTTGAAAATAATACATTTTTATTTATGTTATAATAAATATTGTGTGCTTTTAATGTTTGTATGTATTTATTTATTAATAATTAAATAGAATATAAATACAATATAATCAAATAAAATGAAAGAGGCAAATTCTATCCATACCTCTTTCTATAAGAATCTTTTTTTTATTAATCTGAATATCCAACCCGCTATGCTAGCCGACTAATTTCAGAGCAACCATCTGTTTTGCAGATAACCCGGAGTCACCTCATTTGAACCTCCGTGGCCACAAGAGGATTTTTATTCCTCTTTGGATTTGAACCTGAGACCTCTCGGCACTCTTAACCTTTGGAGTCCAAGCTCAAACCAATCAAGCACCACCTTTATTATTTGTACTTTTAATAGTTTAACAAATATAAATCTTGAATTATTTAGTAAATAAATTGCATAAAACATGTTTTCTTTTAATATTAAATGAAATAAAAACTTGCATCAAGTAAAAATAAACAAATTGTATCTGATATACTTTTATCATATTATAAAGTAGTTGCAGTCGTGACATCTGTGAAAGTGGTCTTTAATTACAGACAGATAAACAATAACCATAAGACAAACTGTTTTACAGGTTTGATATAATTCTAAAAGTATAAATGATCTAACTTTTGATAAAATAATAAGCGTGTTTTTAATGTTATACAGTATCAAAATAATTATGCTTTTAAGAGTTAAAACACCTTAATTATATAAAAATATTGTCTTCTTTTACATCATGGGACCAATTCCATTAGTCAACATTTGACATTGATGAAGCCTAACTGGCTTTGTGTTGTTATTTGGTTACTTTATCAACCACAATTTGACCCTAGGGTTTGAAGAAATTAATTTATGGGTTTATTGCATATGATACCCTTTAGATATATGAATCAGTGTGCGTAACAGCCAGATGAATACAATATGTCTGATGTAAAAGGTTGGGAGGTATTATTCGTTCATACAGTTCTTTACTTTTAATATGATACCCTTTAGATATATGAATCAGTGTGCGTAACAGCCACATGAATACAATATGTCTGATGTAGAAGTAAGGTTGGGAGGTATTATTCGTTCACACAGTTCTTTACTTTAAAGGATAAAGAAGTTGTTTCCGTGAAGACCACAGGCTTGCAATATCGAATCTTGATTTCCATTATAGAAGTCTAGCTTAACATACAACTACCCAATGTAAGTATCTGTATTTTGTGCGAATGTGAAAGAATGAAACAATTACCACTACCACAAAATCAGGTTTATAGGATACTCTCAATTTTTAAGCGTCCTATTAGACTTCTGTATAGGACTTGGTTTATAGGACCAAAAAAAATAAAGTAACATATCTAAAGGCGTTGTAATAAGCTTATATGACGTTTTTTGATGTCGTAATAAGTTTTTTAGGACACTTTTAATATAAAGCGTCTCATTAGCAACTTTATAGGACACTATTTGAAAAAAATGTCCTATGAAAACAAGTGTCCTATAAAAATTGAGTTTATAGGACATTATTTCAAAATTGTCCTATAAAGTTGCTAATGCGACGCTTTGTATTAAAAATGTCCTAAAAAACTTGTTAAGACGCCAAAAAACGTCATATAAACTTATTACAACACCTTTAGATATGACGTTTTATATTTTGGTTCTATAAATTAAGTCGTATAAAGCGGTCTATTGGGACACTTAGAGATGGGGAGGGGGGTCCTTTAAACCCAATTTTGGTGTAGTGTACGTTTGTCTATTAACTATATATATCTGATTAAATAATGATTATTGTATAATGAATATCAGATAAATAAAATCCGAATGATATATTATTTGAAGGTGTTCATTTGCACTATGTCGCTAGTGCAAGGGGGGTTCATCTGAAACACAAGTTAAACATCTGTAAACAATTCATACTTGAATTTTTCATCATTGGAGAGAGGGGGAAAT